ATGTGACTTAAGCTTAGCCTTTTCTCTGGAGTTGTCCTTGTAAAACTATTTACTCACTTCTGAGAGAGTTCAAAAAGAAAAGGCTTAGAGAAATGGAAGAGAAAAGGAATTTTGCAATGATTTTCTTAACAAGAGTGCAGTGGAAATGTATCAAGACAAGAAAACACCCACCTGAAACCAGGTGTTATTTAGTCATAAAGTAATTTACTGGAGTCACAGATTCCAAAGTGTTCTTGCCTTAGACTAGGCAAGGGGTGGGCGTAAATGAATATGTTAGGGGCAAATATAAGACATGGTTTTAAATAGACTTTAAACTCAAAGACCAGTATCAGCACAGCACTGTGAATCTCTGACAGGCGCCCACCACAGCAGCAGCACCACTGCTCCTGTCCTGATAGGCCCAGAAGACTGCAGGAAGTTCAGGCAGAAAAGCTTTGAGTAGCACTTTTCCAATGGAAAAAAAAGCAAAGCAAATCGGAAAATAAGATGGATCTTGTCTATTTTATTTTGATATGATAACAATTTTTTTCTCCACCGACGTATTCCCAGTAAATAAATATTAAAAAGGGGTGGAGGGAGCTAAAGCCTGGGAAATCCTAATGTTTTTATGTTTTAAGAAAGAAAAAAACTGCATTATTTTTGTAAAGTATTTATTGAGTCATTGAATCTCGTGTGTCATGAAATTGTAAGATGATCCAGTTCTGTGGACTGGAACTTAAGGACAAATCCAGAGTTGGTTCTTATGAAATCCTTTGCTTGCAAAACTCCAGGAAAAGAGATATATAATAAAATCATAATAAAATGTGTTGCCTACATCCATGATTTATGAAACAAATACTGTAGTCCCAATGAAGCAAAGCTCTGAGGCCAGGTAGAAAGCTTTAGCCCAGGTGGGAATAAAACTCTCACAAAAGGCCACAGTGGTGGCTAATAGAAGTCACCACATCTTTAACTCCAAGAACACCTCCCCGGCCCCCAAGTCACTGAAGCCAGCTGGGACATATGTGACTTTTGCTTACTCAGAGCTAAGAAAATCAAGCCAGAGCAAAGACTTAAAATGAGCAAGGCCACTTCCAGGCAAAATTCAGAAATATGAATAGTAATTAGAACACCATGCAACTTACTCCTTTTCAAGATGAGAACCAAAGCTCAGAAAGCATAAGCCACATTGGGCCTATCATTCATGAAATGCTTAGTGCTTTTTCAAATGTATCATGTTTTGGTGCCCCTGTATTCCTGACAACTTTGATTCTCTTGACCCCATACTCAAGGTCTGCTGGTAAAATTGTGCCCTTATGAAAAAGCCCTTGCCAGTCATTCATACTTTAGAATGAATTGTTTACTGATATATTTCCCATCAGGATATTTATATTTATATTCTGTGTCTAATAATGGGATAAAAAGTCTTATATGGAGCTGGAGAGATGGCTCAGGAGAGATGCACTTGTAGAGGACTGGGTTCAGTTCCCAAGACACACATGGTGGCTTACAACTATCTGTAACTCCAGTTCCAGAGAATATCTGACTCCCTCTTCTGGCCCCTATGGACACCAGGCATGCACTTGGTATATATATATATATA